AGTGTGTGTGTGTGTGGGCTGTCCGCACAGCTGCAAAGCCTTCGTGCATTGTTGTGGTGCTCTCTTCCTTTTCCTGTGCTCTCTGCGTTCACTCTCTCAGCAGAGCTGCACTGACGCTGTGCTTTACCAAAATCCGCCTGAACTCACACAAAAGAGGGTCACTTCCCCGTCCTCCCGCAGACAGGACAGCCAGCCAGAGCAGATTACACAGCTGGGATGGGTAAAGCTCTTCTACTGAATGATATTATTCACCTTCCTCTGTGAATGAGTGTGTGTGTGAGTGCGCGTAGTGGAGAGAGCCGCAAGAGAAGCTTAAAGCAGTGCTAAAGGGGAATTCCACCAATCTTTAAAAATACATGCGTAATTCAATCGTTGCAAGGATGCAAGATGCAGTGACGCAAAGTCTTTTAGAGTGGTTTGATGTGAAAAGGATCATTGTAGGAAAGCTTAAAAGATTTTTTGCAGCGGTGCTCATAGGATGCAGGAGTTGTGATGTCTACAGCATAAATAGAGCGTTTTATTCAATATCCTAAATGACCTGTGAATCTACATGAGCTTTTATGTTGCTTTTGTCAGAAGAAAACCTCGTATCTCCAAAATGGTAGCTTTACAGGAGAAGGAAAAAACCTACTTTACTTTTAATGTAAGTCAATGGAGCCAGACTTTTTTTCTGTCATCATGGGTCGTTTCTTTTGGTCCATTCATCATGAAATTTACACACAATGTAAAGAACAACAGGCATTTTCAAATTATGTCAAAAAGCTTATGTTTGACTGTCTGACAGTCTTTAAATTCAGTGTATAAATGTATGTATGCACTCTCAGAAAAAAGGCACTAAACTGTCACTGGGGCAGGACCCCTCTTGTCACTGGGGTGGGACCCTCTGGGGTACATCTCAGTACCTTTAGTCAGGGAACATAACTGAACCATAATCCACTGAAATGATATGTTCTAAGCTGTACTGACTCCACACACCCCGTCTCGTCTCCAGGCTTTTATTTTATTGTTCTGTTTTAAATCATTCGGTTATGAAAGGTACAAATATGAACTTTTCACCTGAAAAACTTATTTAAGGTTCACAATCAGACCGTAAAACCACTGTTGAACCTTTGAGGGAACATTTACACTGTTTGTACCTTGATGAACGAAAAAGTGTTCCTGCACAGAATCTTTATTTCTAACAGTGTAGCTGTGCAAGGGCATCAAATTTAGTGCGTATGTATCGTTCATTGCTCAATGCGCTCTCTTCTCTCATTACTCTGGGGGATTAATGTGGTTCGCTGGACAGGACAAGGCAAACCGACATTTGGGTGGAAGGTGTTTTTTTTTTCGCTCTCCATTCATCCAGATTTCATCCCTCCATTTGCACCTGCCAGGCAGGGCAGAAGGGATGACTGGTGGACGCGTGGACACATGATCCGAAACCCTCTTACCTCAACAACCTAAACACACGGGGCTTATCAGTTAATTAGAATATTTCTTAATTATAATGGAGTCTTATTATTGAATTTGTGGCCTGATTCACTCCCTCATTTTCACTCTCACTGTCTTTAAAGAAACTGCATCAAAAGGATGAATAAGAGTGCTTCAATAAATACGCATGAGTATCCTTATATTATGTTAATTTCAAACTATAGAAGTTATAGTCAGTGTATGTTTGCATATGTGTGATCATGTGCATCTAGAAATGATTGTCAAAATGATGATAACTGTCATGTAGAAGAGAAAACAAATCACCTATTTCTGGAAGCAGAAATGTGAAAACTTTGACTTATTTTTGTTGTTTTCTAAATTATGACTGAGTGTGTTAGAATAATGATTTATTTTCTTAAAAAATGTCACATAATGTCAGAATTTTGTATTAATAACAAAAGAAAATCTCAAGATAATAAGTCAAATATTTGGGAACATTACTCATTATTTTGGCAATGTCAAAAAAAAAAAATTCAAGAAAATGTCATTAGTCCAATTTTGGATAATATAAGTTATTATTTTGACATAATACATCATAAAATGGCGAACTGCTGCCAGAAACAGTGAAGAGAAAAATCTCTACCTGCACTGTAAAAATAATTGTTGTTCTGCCTAAGTTAGTGTTGATGCTGCCTTAAAATTTTGAGTTAATCGAATTTTGTAAAGTTAATGGAAGTTCATGGAACAACAATCTGTTTTACTCCCTATCAAATCAACTTTTTAACTCAAATTTCAAGGCAGCCCAGACACAAGCTTTTTAAAGTTAAATCCCCAGTATTTTTTACAGTGTGCTTGGAAATGTGCTTACATAGAGTGTGAAGTTAAATAACGTGTACAAAAATAATTTCAGTGCCACTTTTCTATAAATTAAAAAGCTTTTGTTGTTTCATGACTGAATATCAGTTCGGCCGCTGCATTAAAAAGTACAAAAATGAATATTGATGGCCTCCTTCTCCCTGAAGGCCTATGCCACAATGTGTTGGGTGGCTTTTCAGTGTCGGCTTTCATTCAGGGGTCTTTTTAATTTCTACAAAAGTGCGATGGGAGTTAATTTGTATAGTTTATATTCAAATATCTCGTATACAGCAACTTCATTAGACTCTTTAGAAGCACTGTCTAGTTTTTAATCAGGTGAGAGAGCATGGAGCACACTAACCTGTGTAGTTCTGCAGCTTAGGATGATTCGAGACGACTCTACCTGCATATATTCCATTTCCTTTTATTTTTACTCTGTTTTCTGAATAAGAATCAGATGAAGGGTCAGTGCTGCTGGGAGACGGGAAGGAAACTGCAGCCATGCTCCTGGAGAAATACTCACCTTTGGGCTTTAGAGCCAACCTAAACCTCCCACGCCTCCCCACACTGTTCAAATATATTTTGTCACAACTTGTTGCACTTCATGTGGAAACAAACAGCTTAGCAGGTTTTCAAGTGCAATCAATTCTTGATTAAAATGCAAGCGAAATAAAACAAAAGGCCAAGTGAACAGAGGAAACAGGTTTCATCCATCCAAATCTTCAAATTCATCTCTGCCCTGTTCCATTTTTATAGCATGCCATATCAAAGACTTCAGAAGAATCTGAAATGTAGAGCCAGGTGTGTTAATTAGTAATAAACTCAGCAGTGCGGTAGATCTTCAGGAAAGCACTTTGAGTCGAAGTGTGACGTGCAGTAAAGCTTTGGAAGCAGTCATGGCTCTGCTGCCAGGTTTTAGGTGGAAAAGTGTGTAAAACAGTGCATATAAGGAAAGCTGAGCTAACATTGGTTCAATGTGGTTCCAATGATCATGTTACTGATTAAGTTAATTGACCCTTATTAATCCCACAATGGGGAAATTCACTTCTGCATTTAACCCATCTGTGCAGTGAAACACCACATACACACTAGTGGGCAGTGAGCACACTTGCCCAGAGCGGTGGGCAGCACAAAAGTGTACTGTAGCGGTTAGGTGCCTTGCTCAAGGGCACTTTTGTCAGCTCTGGGGATCAAACCAGCCACCTTCCAGTTACGAGGCTGGTTCCCTAACCTCCAGCCCAAGAAACAGAGGACTTCCCTGACTGGGAATCGAACCCAGGCTGCGGCGTTGAGAGTATCAAATCCTAGCCCATAGACCACCAGGGACAGCAGATTAAGAGAGATCACATATTTGCTGAAGGTCAAAGGTCATCTACAGATGTTTAGGTTACTGCATACTCTATATCAAGACTGCTTCATTCCTGCCCTTGTTAGCATTCAGATTTGCTCTTTGCAGAGAAAAATTAATTTTAATTGTATGTTTATGGTGCATTAAGTTGTCTTGGATATCTTATTTTACATATCATTGCTGTCCAAAGAAAAACAAGGATCTCCAAATGAGTAACTTTAGAGGAGATGGCAAAAACACTCTTACATTTCAATGTAGGTTAACGTAAAGAGGTTTTATTCTAAGTGATTTTAGAGCATTTCTATTGGTCCATTTATCATGAAGGTTTCACACAGCTGGTGTGTTGAAATAATGTAAAAAAGAAAAATTGACAAAAATGGAGAAACATGGTTTTCTTTGGACAGTGACGATATATTGCCTGGCCCTCTATGTGTAGAAGTGAACTGTTCATAAACACGTGTGTATAGTGTTTATGTGCATGTGTGCACAGTTAGCTTTATCAAGGAAAATGTCAGTATCTTTTTTTCAACACTACCACAAATACTGTTACTTATCATGTTTTGCAGTGGCACAGACACGTTTGATATTCTTTCAAATTATATTTTTTTGTAATTTTATCTTTCTGTACATTAAAGGCCAGGCAAAACAATCTGCCGGACATTACTTTGGAAGGAAAAACTGAAACACAAGGAAGGCCGAACCCATTGTAGTACATCGTTAGTGTTTCAATTCAGTTCAATTTAATTTGTGTAATGCTGTTTGCAATCAAGTAGCTTTACAGGGTTTGGATCGGAACCATGAGTAGAGAACTGAGTGGTAAATGTTAATGTTGAGATGGAGACACTGGAATTAGTGAACAGTTGGAGCTGTTAAAGAGTAGTTGGCAAGGTATGTTAACGTTAATAAAGGAAATGGAGATTCTGGAATCAGTTCCCGTGTCTCCTAGAAAATCCTGCTGTGCCGGCACATACAGGCTTGAATAGAAGTGACAACTAAATTTACGGTTTTGTACAGTTTATGCCGTCATGAAGTATTTGGTTTAATACTTTTGTGAACTAAGTGATAAAAGGTTTCATTCTTGTCCTAAAAAAAAACGTTGCATAGCTGTTTTCTGAGAAGATATTGGCCAGACACAGATACAACACCTCAAACAAATGTGCACATATACAAATGCCAATCAGGTAGTCTAGTGTGTCGCTAGAAGTACCTCTGCTGCATAAAAATCTCTTTGATTCTCTGAGCTCTGTGAGAAGCTAATCTTATTCATTATTCATGGTGATTTCCAAGAATGTGTGAGATCTAACTAGTTCCGTTTTTGCTGATTGCATATTATCCTTGCCTTTCAGCTGAATCCCTCTCTTCTCTCCTTCTTGGTTACCTGCAGGTTTGGCGCTAATGACGACGGTGATGAGGGTGCTGGCAGTTTGACAGCCTTCTGCAGCCGACGTGTGTAGAATACCCCAAGGCCCTGTGAGCCGTCAAGATGTCCCGATTCTTCCCAAAGTTGTAGTTTGGCAGTCCTCCACCAGGGGGCCTCACTGGGGAGGGAAGAAGGGTTGATCAGAAACCTAAAACCCAAACTTTGAACTACAGCCAAGGAACCATGTAGAACCGCTTTCTTCTCAAAAGGGGTGTGGGTTAACTTTTTAGCTATTTTTAAACATTGTTTTTAATTTTTTTTATTGTTGAGTTTGAGTTGAGTTTTGGACCAGACTGCAAGGCGGAGATGGTCCTGCACACCTCCCCTTACCCGAGTGCCTTCCTCAGCTTCCTCAGCAGCCTGTCCTGGGCCTTGGTGTTCCCCTGCTATTGGATGCTGGACCGGCTCTTGGCCTCTTGTGTTGCCACCTCGCTGGAAAAGCGAAGGCGTTCGCAGGACCCTTGCTCTTTCCTGGCTCTGGGGGTACTCATCTCTACACCACTGTACCTGGTCCTGCTGCTGGCCTCTTTACCCTTCGCCCTGCTAGGCTTCCTACTTTGGGCACCCCTACAGGCCTCCCGGCACCCGTACATCTATTCGTACCGAAAACCTGATGCTCATCGGGCTGAGCAGGGGCCATCTGCTGCAGGGTCTGGCGAATGGCGCCCTCAAGGCCGCAGCTTCTGCTTTGGCAGCGCCAATGTGTGCCTGCTGCCCGACTCTCTGGCACGGTTCAACAACCTGGCGGACACGCAGCGCAGGGCACGGGAAGTGGGCAAACGAATCCGCAACGGAGCCAGTCGGCCGCAGATCAAGATCTACATTGATTCACCTACCAACACCTCCATCAGTGCCGCGTCCTTCTGCAGCCTGGCCACGCAGGGCTTCCGACGAACATCCTCACTGGACCAGCGTCCGGAACCAACGACTGGAAGTGAGGGAGACAGTGAGCCTACATCTGAGTGTCCTGTGCATCCTTCCGGAGGATCAAGCTCAGACTGCCCCATCCATAATGGCCAGAATACTTCAGAGTGTCCTGTGCATCCTTCTGGGGGAACAAACGCAGACTGCCCCGTCCATAACAGCCAGAATATTGCCGAATGTCCACTGCACTTCAGCCATGAGGAACCATCACCGGACTGCCCGGTCCACCAGCCTGGAGACCCTCAAGCATCTGAGGAATGTCCAGTCCATTCCACCACAGCAGGTTCAGGCTCTGATGACTGTCCTTTGCACCCTTCTGGGGTCCAGATTAGCATCACTTCCCCTGAACCTGAGACAGCGGAGACCAAAAACCATCGCCCCAGTGAAGGAGACACCGGCAGCCTTCACAGTCGCACTGCCTCCAGAGAGTCCTTGACCCGTTTCCATGGTGCAACAGATGGTGGCGGCATCACGTCCAACAACACGCTCTCGCAGCACCGGGCTTCTTTCTTCAAGAGGCCTACGGGCCGCAAGCGCCGCCACGGTGATGACGGTTTTGACCATGAAATCTCTGCCTTCTTCCCTGCCAACCTAGATTTCCTGTGCCTGCAGGAAGTGTTTGATCGGCGAGCATCGGAGCGGCTGTGCCGGCAGCTGCACCGCTACTTCCCTTATGTGCTCAGTGACGTGGGCCGCTATGGCTGGAAGGGCTGCTGCTCACGGTTCAAGTTCCTCAACAGCGGCCTTCTCCTGGCCAGCCGCTACCCCATCCTAGATGCACACTATGAATGCTATCCCAACGGCTGTGGAGAGGATGCCCTCGCAGCCAAAGGAGCTCTCTACGCCAAGGTAAGGAGCGTTTGGCTTTTATATTACACCTGTATAAGGACCCGGAGGTCAAATTGTGGTAGTTAAGTTAACCTGTTAAACTCTGAATGTGCGTCCACACTTCACTTTCTCGCTCTTATAACTACAGAACTTACTCAAACATGTTAGAACAGATTACAACAGAACATATTAGTTTCATAGTAGTTATCAAATAAGTTAATGTAGTTACTGAATAATAAGCCATAAGATTAATAGCTGAATTATAAGCCAAGAGTGCTGCTGGAGTTTTTAAACACCTCAGTGTCACTGCTGGAATGAGAATAGTCCACCAACCAAAAATATCCAGCCAACAGCGTCCTGTGGGCAGCGTCCTGTGACCACTGATGAAGGACTAGAGGATGACCAACACAAACTGTGCAGCAGCAGATGAGCTGTCGTCTCTGACTTTACATCTACAAGGTGGACTGACAACGTAGGATTGTCTAATAGAGTGGGCAGTGAGTGGACACAGTGTTTAAAAACTCCAGCAGCACTGCTGTGTCTGATTCACTCAGACCAGTGCAACACAGACTAACACACCACCACCACATCAGTGTTACTGCAGTGCTGAGAATGATCCACCACCCAAATAGTACCTGCTCTGTGAGGGTCCATGGGCGTCCTGACCACTGAAGAACAGGGTAAAAGGGGGCTAACAAAGTATGCAGAGAAACAGATGGACTACAGTCTGTAACTGTAGAACTACAAAGTGCACCTATACAGTAAGTGGAGCTGATAAAATGGACAATGAGGCGGTCATAATGTTATGCCTGATCAGTGTAGATAATTAAGCATTTTCAGTCAGTCGATAAGAATCGTCTGACACACAGCATAAAGGAAGTTTTTTTTTTTGTGGTGGTCTTTCCTGTCCTTTACTCGTTTCTCTTAAGCGGTGTGGGAGGTCCTCTGTGGTCAGTCTGGTTGTCTGTGCGCAGTTGTGGTCTATTTCTGTAACTACTTCCTGCTGCTCTGTTTTAAATCTCATGCAAACCTATGCAAATAATGAGAGGATTAATGAGGCAAAGAGTGACCTCGGAGATAGTCTCTCTCACTCCAACATGGACAGTGTTGTCTGGCATTGATTGTCAGTGTCTTTCACTTCCAAGTTGTTTTCATTTGAGTTTAGTGGGGTGGGTTTTATATTTCAGAGTTGAATTTCAGAGCTCGATACTGCTCTGAAATTTTTTTTCATAGATTTTAACTTACTGATTAATACCTCTTTTTATTACTATTATTATTTTTTAACAGTTTCTGCACCAGCCAAACGATCGGCAGTTTCATTTATACCAGAAAATGTTGCATTTGTTCTAACAACATTTCTGTAAATGGAGATTTGAGCTTCAACTCTAGCACAAACACTTCTGTACAGACATAACCAAACAGTTGGTTCCTTAAAGGGTTAATTTAGGGTAGGGGTTGGTAAGGTTTGACTCTGAGTAAGTGCTTTGTGCGTATACACCCTGAATAATTTATATCCCTGGCTTTGTAGCCCGGAGGGTCTTTTTGAAGTGTCTCATCCGTAATTCCCAAAGAGACATGGACTCTACTGCTGCGATCTTTGTTCCTCCTTACTGAGAAATAGCTGTTGGTTTCTATTATTGTGTTATTGCATCCCTGGAGTGGAGCTGCGGAGAAGTTGGGGTGGGTTTCACAGCACGGAGGGACGTTTCTTCTAGATCGTGTGTTAATAGGTACATTGTTGGCTCTTTAGAGAGGGATGTAGGGATCATATTGTGCGTATATGTGGGAGAGAGAGCGAGAGAGAGAGATGTAGGGGTCATATTCATCTCTGAACTGGCAATATGGCCTCAGGCCCAACTCCAGCACTGCTGTCACTGACTGCCAGACAAGCCTGCTAAATACTGAACGCGTGCGTGTGTGTGTCAGACTTGATAGACACTGAATACTGTTTGTGGAGCAACAACATGCCAGGAGTTGACAGTGTTTTCACCACACGCACGTCACTATAGTCGAGGTTGTCAGGCCTGCAGATTTCGTCTGATTGACAGGTGTCTGTCTGCTTCCCTGTTGAGCATCTTCACTATTTATAATAGTGCGTGCGTCCTGAGTGGGTGGATGTTACTAAATAAAAAATGATTAGAAACTGCAAAAAGTTCCCAAAACATTTCGTAGTCAAACTGATTTCTGGCTGACGTCTCCCTCCTTGCTGCTTGACTGCTGGCGGTCAGTATTTTTTAGATTATGACATGAAACCAGACATTTTGCAGCGATTTCATGGTATAAAAAAGTGAACAGAATGTCAGTCATGCACTGGACTTGAGTATAAAGTCGGAAGTCTCCCACAGACTCTGATGCCAAGTCAGGTTAGATGATTTAAAAGTGAAAACATGCCATCCGCAGCATTAAGATAGACCAAGGAAATCATATTTATCTCATAATCTTTGTTTTTGTAATGTCTAATCTATGTTCATATCAATCTAAATATGTGGGCTGGTTTCTGTGTCTTGCTAAACAGATAAGGCTATGCTGTAGCCTTCCACACACAGAATGTGTTCCCTTTTAAAACAAGTACAAGGTTGGTTTTGAGGTTGTAATTACTTTAAAGTCACTAAAAAAATATAGAAGACAAAACCTAATATTATCACTGTCTGGATATCTTCAGCTGAATAAAGTTGAATAAACGTAAAACAGATTATTTTATTCAAGAATAGTGATGAGATGCACAGACTAGCTGCCTATCTGGATTTGAGGGCCTTAAAATCTAAAGAGCAAGCACGTAATCTTGGTGCACTGATGGACTCTGATCTCAGTTTTATCAGTCGTGTCAAAGCAGTTACTAAATCAGGATTTTATCACAGTAAAATTATTAACAAGATCAGAGATTTTCTGACTAAAGCAGACCTGGAGAAACTCATCCACGCCTTTATTTCTAGCAGGATTGATCACTGTAATGGTCTCCTAACTGGACTCCCTAGTGTACATCCATACACTGGCTACCAGTCTGTTATAGAATAGACTTTAAAGAGCTATTGCTGGTCTGTAAATCGCTCAATGGTGCAGGACCAGCGTATTTATTTCATATGTTGCAGCGATATGACCTGAGCAGTACTCTCAGATCAATAGAAACTAGTCAGTTAGTCCTCATCATCATCATCATCATCATCATCATCTTTAATTGCTTAATACAGCTAGGATCGCGGTAGCAGTTGGGAGAGCAGAGAATCATAGACGACCCTGTCCCCCGCAGCTTCCTCCAGCACATTCTGGGGAACCCTGAGCCGCTCCTAGGCCAAGTTGCAGATTTAATCCCTCCAGTGGGTCCTAGGATAACCTCAGGGTCTGGTAAACCTCCACCAGGAGGTGTCCAGGGAACATCCTAATCAGATGACCAAACCACCTCAACCGGCTCCTCTCAATGCGGAAGAGTAGCAGCTCCACTCTGAGCACCTCCTGGATGACCGAGCTCCTCACCCTTTCAAGTACAGTGTAGCCGCCACCCTGTGAAGAAAGCTCATTTCCGCCGCTTCTATTTGCGATCTTATTCTTTCGGTCATTCCCCAAAGCTCAGCTAGGTGAGGGTTGGGATGGAGACTGACTGGTAAACAGAGAGCTTTGCCTTATGGCTCAGCTCCCTGTTCACCACAGTCCAGTACAGCGACCGCATTACTGCGGCCACCTGTCCCAGCCTGCGGCCGATCTCACCATCCCTCTTCCCATCACTTGTGAACAAGACCCCGAGATACTTAAACTTCTCTCCCCTTACCTGGAGTGGGAATGCCATCCTTATGCCTCAGTTAGTCTTGCCAAAGGAAATGACTAAACATGAAGAAGCAGCGTTTCGCTACTGTGCTGCTCTTAAATGGAACCAGTTGACAGAGAGCATTAGAAAAGCCCCGACACTGGACTCTTATAATGGCACTCTATTATACTAATTTAGTTTCTAATTTTATTCTCCTACACCTTTTGTAATTATCTTTGTATTTTCTCATTTGTAAAGCACTTTGAATGACCACAGTGTATGACAGGTGCTATTTAAAGAAACTTGCCTTGCCTGTTAACAGCCTAATAAATGTAGCATAGACGCTGACTACAGGAAGCAACTCATAGGCTGTAAACACACTATTTATCAAACCTATAGCAATATATCTCTCAAACCTCACTGAGTCTTTCTTTGGCCCAATCCCATTTCACCCCTTGCTCATACCACTTAGTCCTACCCCTCTGTTTGTGTGTTCACGTCTAAGGGTAGGATGTCCTGATTCTTGTTGAGATAGAGGGGTAGGGCGAAGTATTAGCCCTCCAGGGCTACACAGCCCTCCAAACGGAGGTTTTTCAGAGACACACTCCAAACAGAGTGTTATGAGAAAAAAGAAGAACCAGCAAGATGGCCGGTTTAAACGGGGCAACAGGAAAATTTGAACAAGAAGCTGGCAAATATCTGACTTCAGCTTCATATCACTGAAGAATTAGTGGTGGGCAATATGATGCCCTAAATGTAACTAAGCAGTGAGGTTGCTGACCTTTACCCTCCTCTGCTATCACTGCAGACTGGCAGGGTCTCCTACAGAGCAGCGCTAGTAGCTGATAATGAAGTAATGCTCTTTTTATTTGAGGGTCCCATTTCAGAGGGAAGATTTCAACCACTGCCCCTGATAACTCAGTTCCAAGGGGCAAGATGACACTGGAAAACAAAGGATGGGGTAAAAATAAGAAATGAGACTGGGCCATTATGTCTGTCCCGGTGCCTCGTCCCTGTAGCAGGATTAATAAGGCAAGGGGGCAAAAGAAATTGCGAAAGGGGGACAGGCTCGTTTTTGTAATAGATCATTCAGTGACAGCTTTTTAACATCACTGCAACCCAGGGCAGTAAAGCAGCCGAGCTACAGTGTGCTGGCACACCAACAACAAGTACTAAATGCAAAACTGTGATATTTACAATCCTTAAAAGCAAATACAACTGTAAATGTACTCCACACACTTTATCCAGCTTACTCAGCCTCATGAGTGGGCTGTGCCACAAA